AATTTTTCTTTCTTTTTTTTCCTGATCACTTTTAAGTTCTCTGTAGATATGTGTGGTTAGAAGTAAAAACAAAAAAGTGAAAATACATCAGAAAGTGACTCACTCCTGAGTCACACAAACAGGAAATGCGAACCGTAGTAACATAGTAACGAGCTTTGTTGGCTTTGGCTGGAGACCTTCCTGTGTGACTTGGAGGAAGAGTCATGGAAACACAGCTGTGTCAGAGTGTCGGACTCTCCAGCCGTGCAGTGAGTGTCTGCTTTCTAGAATGAAGCGAGACATTTCTTTGTCATCTCATCTGGAATCACTTCAGTCCTCGAGAGCATTTTGGATACTGTGGGTTTACAGAACAAATGAACAGGTGCACAGCTGAGCGGGTGCCAGAAAATGACTTTCTTTGGAATGCCGATAGACCTTATTAAAATGTGCTGAATGGGTTTGATCCTTCACCATTCCCAGGACAGCCTTACCTCATGCTGAAGGCATGGAAACAGTGAGAGGCAGCTAGAGCTGACCTTACATTTCCATACAAAGTACAGACTCTCCATCCATGAGGCCGCTAGCAATGGACAACAGGCAGCCAAGACTGTGACTCATGAGAAGACAGACATTTAAGAGCCCGCTGTCCTGTCCTGGGGTCTGGCCTGTGTCTATTTTCTGCCAAAATAGATGTGACTAACACAGGGAGAGCCTGGGGTCTCAGCAAGGAGATAACAGATCTAAAGCTCAGGGCTGTGGAGACTGGAATGTGCACAGCAAGATAATGGAAAAAGAAGTTCTGGGGGTTGAGCTCCCTTAGGATCATGCACAGCAGGGAGCAGCTGCCTCAGGTAATGAACCAAAAGAAGAAAGCAGGGGGCTGCTTTACGGAGTTTAGGACGGAGTTTAGGAGTTTGAGCACGTCAGCCGTCAGCCATGCTGTCAATAATCGGCTCGGCTGCATCTCAAGGGGTAAGGACAATGCCATAGAGGAAGACCGCTTGCTTTCAATAGGGATATAATTGAATTGGATCCATCCTAACCCAGTGTAGACCCTTGAAGTGTAGACCCTTGGTTAACAGTTAGTGAGATCTACCAATAATTTTGCTGCCACAACGGAAATGAGCCCCTTTGAACTATCTAATTTAGGACAGAAAGGGACATGTGGCACACATTTAAAATGAAGATCAACAAGTGAAGCAGACTGACTGGAAACCAGGCATCCTGAATCTTGCTCTCTGTTAGTCCTTGAAAAGACCCCCCAGGACTCTTTGGAGAAATGACCTCATCCAGAACAGAGAAAGGACATATACAGGATAAGTCTAGAACATTTTTATTGTGAGAAAGTAAAGAAATAAAAGTGAAAAAAGTAAATATGTCAAAAATACATAGTAGGCAGCTTGAAGGCGCCCTCACTGGCCAAGTCTGAGTACCCGTGTAAAGTGCAGGAGCGAAGTAGGGATACGTCGTAGGAAAAGCAGTACTTAATGTATGTGTACTAACCCTGACTACTTCACTAATGAGCAAATGTTGAAGAATGCTGATAATGAATGAATGATAATGTGGAAAGAATGTTGGAGTCAGTATGCTGCAGCTGTCATGATGAAAGCATGTAACAGGCAGGCATCATGGATACCTGGAAAATTCCTTCTCCTTGACCTCTCCTCTTCTTCCTCCTCTTCTTCTTCCTTCTCCTCCTCCTCCTTTTCCTCCTCTTCTTCTTCCTTCTACTCCTCCTCCTTTTTTTCTCTCCCTCTTCTCTTATTTCTCCTCTTCATCCTTTTTCTCCCATCCCCTCTGTGTTTTCGTTCATCTTATGCAGCTTGCTATATATCCTGGGCTGGCGTTGAACTCACAATTCCCCTGCCTCAGTTTTTCAAGTATCGAGATTATTACAGGGGTAGGAAAGGGGAATTTTGAAGGTAGGACATGATACTTGGATGGTCTTAAAATGTTTCCCCCTAGATGAAATATTATTTGCAAGCAGAAATGGAATGACTTCTTTTTATTGAATAAAGTGGGTACTACTTTGGGATGAGACTAGACTCAGACACCTTCAGACATGATATTCAGAGAGCGTCTCAGGGAATGTTCTGACTGAGCAAAACATAAGCCATTCTGATTCAACCAGAATCACCTGAGGAAAAGTCAAACAAGCCAAAATGGAAATAACTCCATTAATTTTAAAAGGGAGGAGCTCTATTCTTCTCGGGGTGTTGTGAAGACAAAGGGTGTATGCTTCAGGTTAAAGAGAGGCAGTGGTGGAATGCATTTCTAACCCTGGGCTGGATCCTGACATGGAAGAAATGCTATAAAAATCATTATTAGGGCAACTGAATCTGGAGTGGATTAAGACATTGGTGTCTGTGGTCCCCAGTTGGTGACCTCGGACTATGATTATGTGAAAGTATCCCTACTGTCTGGGAATACTTTCTGAAGTATTTAAAGAAAAAGGAGCCGTGATGTGCGAGACTGTCATTAGGCTCAAGACAAAAGTGTCCAGCGTGTGTGTATGGAAGCAAGCAAGCGAATGTTCAGGGAAATGGACTAAAAGTCAGTCAACAAATCCAGGGAAGGTCTACATGAGTACTCTTCATACTATTAGTTTTACAACTTTTTTGTCAGTTTCAATATTATTTTCAAGTTAAAAAAATGTAAAACGTTGAGCAATGATGAATGTGGCTTCCCGGGCAGTGTGTGGAGAGGAGAGAGGTTGAGTTGCCTCTGGATTTTCTGCTGCAAAGCTTGCTTCTCTAGGTCAACTGTTTGTGGCAGTGTCTTAGTCACTCTGCAGAAAAGGTATTTCTGCGTCTGTTGGGTGGAAATGTCGATCAGCAGATCTAAGACAAGAAGAATCCATGCTGATTTTATGTCCCAAGTGCTGGGATTCAGGAGTCTCAGTGTACAGGGGAGTTCAACCCAAGGCTTTTGCCTGCTAGGCAAGCACTCTGCCTGCTAAGCCAGATACCAGCCCCTCTCATTTCTTCTTTGATACGTTTTAGCTGAGTAGATTGGGGGAAAGTTTTCTAACTATCAGAAACTTCAGCTACTGCTGTATTTCCAAAGTGTATTCTCAAGAATAGAAGTATTGTCTTCTGAAGAATAGAAGTATTGTCTTCTGAAGAATAGAAGTATTGTCTTCTGAAGATTGTGAGACTCTGTGAGGAAATGCACACCAGTGCTCTTTTTAGTTAAGAATGACTTTTTACAAACATTGGCTTACTACCTAGAGTGTTGACTATAGATGAAAAAGAGGCTCAAGCTAAGCTAGAGAATTGGGTGGTCGTTTCTCCTCTTAATAGTGAAAATTTTACCTGATGAAATGAGTTTCTTTCCCCAATGGGTGCCTTTAATCCTTCGGTTGATTTCTTTCTTATTTCCTACTCTGTTATTCTAGGAAAAGCTTCAGTAGCTGTAGGGGCTGTGACCTTTCGCTGTGACCTTTCGCTGTGACCTTTCAAGCACGGTGCAGTTGGAGCACAGAGCCCAGCATATAAAAGACAGCACAGGTAAGTGAAACCCTGTGTCTCACTCATTCTCAAAGAATGCATGGATCCGAAGATCCCTGTAATTCCTCCTTTGTTTTGGGATTGAGTGTCTAACTCTGGTGGCAGAGAGGGAATGTCCAGGCTTTTGTGTATCTCAAGGAAAAATTGGCCATGGAAAGGCCTTTACTTTTTGTGGAGGGTCAGGAAGAAAATTGGAGAGGCCAGCTCCTCCATTAGAGGAGGCAAGCAAGGTGGCTAGGCAGAAAGACAAAGGGTGTGTATGGGAAATGTCTCCTATTGAGTCAGGAGTTTGACAGAGTCCAGGAAGGCTGAGGGTCATCCAGGGCCAGATCACTTTAATCCAGGTTTGCTTTCATTGGAGTCTTTATCTTAGGAGATTACAATGAGCAAATATGCTTCCTTCTTTTCGGTTGGGCAGTCAATGTCATTGCTGCACCAGTCAGCGCCAGTGAGGTGGAATAAAGACCTTCACTAAGTGCACTGGTTAATGTCATAAAGGTAACTCAGAGGACCAAAATATGTCAATGTCACATTAAGAAATGGAAGCAAAGCAGTTTCTTCTCCATGGATGAACTTGGTCAAGAGCAAGCCCAAGTTGCAATCTTCCACTACCTGCCTCACACCTCTTTCTCCTGTCTATGTGTAGTTTCCAGCCTACCTGCATTCTGTCTGTTGTGGGCGGCCGTGCCTGTTGCCTGTGAGTTGTGCTGTGTGTGTCTGAATCCGGGCCTGTCCCTTACAAAAAGCCTTGTTCTGAATTCATTAAATGACAGAGAGAACATGGAAAGAGAGGAGGGATACTTTATGAAATCTTTAACACAGTCTTACAAGGGGAAGAATTTACTTTAACACTACAAACGGTTGTTATCAAGACACATCCTGATGATACTTCTGATATTTGTGTTGGTTATTTGTTTGAAGGTTCTTCCAACTTATTGTCTGCTTTAGCAAGTGATTACCACAGACAACATTCATGCACACATACATTACACTAGGTCTGGGCATAGGAGAGCACACAATTTAAGATTAAAGCAACGCACTTAGCTTAGTTTACAAAAGCTTGCATGGGAAATCCAAGACATAGTAAAGTATGTTACATTATTCTCATAAGAGAAGGCTAAACTAAACAGGCTGACTACATAGTAGGACAGCAGGCCAAATCCACAGTTGTAAATGATTTTGAGCAGTATTACTAACTTGGTTGCAAGATCCAGCGAAAGTTCAGCTTCTTTCGGGTCAAGAAGTATTTTCAGAAAAACGTATCACTGCAACCAAGAACATAAAAGCTAGCTGCATGACCTAAATAGCGTCTTTATGTTACTGTTAATTGCCAGACTAGCATAACTAGTATGTCTGATATAATTACTATATACATCGAGACAGTATTCTTCAGTTTTGCTTATTTGCAGGCTTGATAAGAATGATTTATTGTGGCTGGATAGTAATAGCAAACATGTGTAGTCCCAGCACTTGGGAGGTGGGGGTGGAGGCAGAGGCGGGGGCGGGGGCGGGGGCAGGGGCAGGGGTAGGGGCAGATTGATCTCTGTGAGTTTAAGTCCAGTTTGATCTACAGAACAGGACAGAACAACCATGTTACACAGAGAAACTCTGTGTTAGGGAGGGAGGGAGGGAGGGAGGGAGGGAGGGAGGGAGGGAGAGAGAGAGAGAGAGAGAGAGAGAGAGAGAGAGAGAGAGAGAGAG